ATGCGAGGGAATAGCGATAGCGATAGAAATAATCAAATTTTAACCTATCAGAAACTGTATATTTTGGTGTATCCGATTTCTGATAGGTTGAAATTTGTTATTTCGCTATCACTATTTCCTTGTATTTTGTCTGGGACTTTAAAGCGATACGACAATATGCGCTAATTAGCGCGACGCTCTAATCAGCTGAGATAATGGGTCAGATAGTTGTACAATAAATAAATATATATATATACGTGTATTTGTTAGTATAGCAAAGAAAAAAGAATCAAAACAAGATATTTATCAACGATAAACGTCAACCGGATCAGTGTTCATTTAGTAATTTAAGATCGCTGTCGTTAAAGAATGTATAATATAATAAGACCTCTTCTCATACATGTACATAGCCATCTTCTGTTAAAATCATATAAATACAGCATAGCTACGATTATATTAATAACATCGATAACAAACGTTATTATTGTTATATTCCTATATATGTTAAACTCAATTATTTTTAATAAAAAAAAAGATGATGTTGAGAGAAATTGAAAGATTTTTTTTTCTTTTGTGTCTCATGCTGATCAACTGACGTTATTATTTACGACGCAAAAAATCACAAGGAGACAATATCGCTTGGATCAACACAATCTCACGAGGAAATCTGGAAATTCCCACGTCGCAAACACGACGTAGGAATTATATAGGTTTAAAGGAAAGAACATCTTTTTCGTGACATGTATATTGCCTCCGACATTCTGTTATTATACTTCTGTACACACAACGAAAAAAAAAGAATATTTTTAAAAAATATATTACGACAATATAAAAAGACGCAATGAATGATACAAGATTCTTATACTAGGGAAAATTACTTATATTAGGGAAAATTGTCACTTATCGTTACTATTACTTACTAGGAAAAGTAACTTTGTTACTCATTCGTTACTAAAAAAAGTAACGAAATCAACTGTAGTTACTGATCAACGCTTTGTAGCGATCAACGCTTTGTAGAGTTTTTTTAATTGGTCGGTTTATATAAATTCTTTCTTCTAACTGGTCCATCAAACGCTTCAAAAATAAATAAGCGAGACTTTGACCACAGCCTTTGTTACTTTTTTATGTAACGCTAACAACCCTGATACATATGTACATTGGACTGACAAGAAAAACAAATTTTTTTTAATCGGCCTCTCAACTCAAAAGCTTCCATTTCATGCCAAAAGAACATCCCTAAATTTTTATTTAAAAATATTAAGATTTAGAGGTCGCTAGCGAACGATTCTTAAATCAAAGTTTCGATTTTCCTTAATTTGATGCAAAAATGACTTAATCCGGATTTTAAATGTGGTACTGTATGTTTCTTGGTCGCTGAACACGAATAATTCATTTAGCTCTATGATATATGTATTAAGAAATATAATCCAATTAATGTGAAAAAATGACCAAATTTCGAGTTTAAGATCGATTTTAGCAAGGTTCCAAGCGTTCAAATGGGTCGTTACTGCCCTCAAATTGTAGGTCTATTCATTCAGAACAAGATCCAGTGGGAATTTTCCCGGGATTTCCTACAGAGCCTTTAGAAGTTGCATTTAACTGGATTATAAAACGTTTTTAAAGATAGAAAATTTTTTTTACAAGTTCTAAAGTATATCGCTTTATGGTTTTGACATCCTCAAATCAAATACCTCAATTTGAGAATAAAAAACTCTTTATTAGAAAATGAAATCATCACATAATACAAACAAAATATGATTTAATTAATTGAAATAAACTATACATTAACATATATTAAATTAATTGAAATAAACTACATATTAACATAGCAACCTCTGAATCTTAATATTTTTTGATAAAAATTTAGGAGTGTTCTTTGGGCATGAAATGGAAGTTTTTGAGCTGAGGCCAATTAAAAAAAATTTTTTTTTCTTATCAGTGTCACAGTCTAATAACAGAACAGCCTAATATATATATATATAACACGCAGTATATTTCTGTCTTCTATAATTTGCCATTATAGACATTATAAATATATGCGTTAATTATACGTTGACACATTAGAAACTTATATTATGTATTTATTAATATAGGTAATTCGAAACATATTATAAAGAGTATTCAACGTAACGGGGCTTTTGATTATGGCGTAAGAAGTAGCGGATGAAACGGCGCGGTTAAATTGGAAACAGCGACGTAAAAATTTAGAGTAAGGGCCGACTGTGTCGCGTGTTATTTCGAGTTTCGTGTAATGGTCTAGGCATTTCAAGAAGCTCACTCATTCCTTTTTCAGAGAGTTTGATCCATAGAGAGAAGGAGAGCAAGAAATAGAAAAGGAGAAAGAAAGAGACTTTTTGCAGGTTTGGGGGTATATTTGGATATCGTAGAAACGACGGCTCTCGTATGAAAGTGTAGTTTTCCCCAATACGTAAGCGCGGAGTAATTATAGTCGCGTGCTCCGTCCGCAGTGAAATACCCCTTTCAAAAAAGATGCGCGTTTCCTTGTTCATGGAAAACTTTATACCTACATGTGAAGAGACTTTGGCTATGTTCCGATTATGACTTAATCAATGATATTAATTTGCAAATTAAGTAATGCCTGTATCATTTTGTTGACGCACGCACGCACGCACGTACGCACATAAAACATAATTTTCTCAGGAATCTTTATTTTTCGGCCCGATAGAACTTAACATCCTCTTACTAAACTTCTCAATCATTTCTCCTGTAACAATTCTCACCTATTCCTAAAAATTTTATTCATATCTTTCTTGCTCTACATTTATTTATTGTAAGGTAACCGGACCCAATTTGGGCCGTTTCCCAAACTGGGCCACTCGCTGTTTATATATAGAGGAGACTCAGTGAGAAATGACAATGGAATCGACGTCGAAATCATCGAATTGACGTCAAATCGATGTCGATTCGAGCGTTATAAGCTTGGTAATTGATAATTGACCGAAAGTAATTCGCTTCTTATACGCTAGAGCTGGAATTTAAGTTGCACATTTCGGCCGATTTTCAGCTTGGTTCTTGCTCCTCGAAAAAATACCGATCGACATTTAGGCTGTGCGCGGGTTGATGAAATGAAGGGCAAGAACCAAGCTGAAAATCAATCGAAATGTGCAACTAAATCCCAACTCTGTTATACACTAAAAATAAAAATTTACGAAATTTTAATAAATATTTGTTTAAAATAGTATCAATAAGACATTTGCTTATAGCGAATAAAAATTTATTCAATAAAAAATACTACTTTGATTTAAGTATTTATTTCTTAAAATAAATATTTATTTACTGTAAGCAAGTGTCTCATTGGCACTATTTAAACAAATATTACAATTTTGTTAATTTTTTTTCAATGTAACCTTTTTTTATCTTATAACCTCTTGTTTCCTTCCACTGAAGGTGCATTCAAGTCTTCATCGGAAGTTAGAAATATCGTGTATATATTTCCAATGCATCTTCTAAAGGCTACGGTCCACTTGACGCTACAAACGCTTCGAAGCATTCTTTGATTAGTCAATTCGTAAAATTCTTTGTTCTGATTGGTCGCTCAAACACTTCAAAGCGTTTGTAGCGTCAAGTGGACCGCAGCCTAAATCAACTAGAACTTTATCTGTTGATATCATCTTTGTATGAGTAAATTCTTTTTCTTATTTTCTTGATGAAATTTTAAGCATCCAATTCCTTGTTGGTGAACAAAGTTCATTTTTTATTAGCACAAAATCGGTAAACGTTTGTAGACGTCGTATACAAACGGAGGCGTTACGACCGCCTTTGGCATAAAGCTCTATTATCAAAGTAGCGCATAGGTCCTCCATGTTGGACCTACTAATCATACCCTATACCAATAATACTAAGCGCTTATTGGACTACGGATGACTAGCAGACGACTAAATCGAAATAGCGGTCGAAATAGCCAATAGGAAGGTCGTCGGCATTTCGGTTCAGATCAAAGAAATGCGCTACTTTGATATATAGAGCTTTGCTTTGGCGTTCTACGCTGGTATTTGCTTTTGCGCCCCATCGCAAGGATTGCTAAGTCTCTGAAGCACCAATCCCCGCCAACGGCAACGAACCAACAACCAAAAAAAGAAGGAATTTCCACCAATTTCCATAACACATGGTTCCTGCACACTGGACGCGGAAATGCTTACCGCGCGACAAAATGCGACGCGGTAACCAATGAACATGTTAGGAGCTGTAAGCTTATTGGCTAACGCGTCACATTTTGCCGCGCGGCAAGCATTTCCGCGTCCAGTGTGCAGGAACCATAAGAAATTGACCAATCACAATCGATTGTGAAAAGAATAATCGACTGTGATTCGCCCATTTCTTATGGCTTAAGGCTTAAAACCCTATTGTAGATCCGGAGTAAGACGTAATCAGTAAGGAAATCGTTTTTCTATGTTCTCCCGGTTTAAAGTCTAGCTGCAATACAATTAGCAGTAGGCAGTAAAGCTGGTTCTACATTAGTCGTATCGCAGCGTCGCAAGCGTTGCGGTCCAATCAACATCAATCTAGCTCGACTCTGATTGGACCACAACGGTTGCGACACGCTCGCGACACTGCGATGCGACTAAAGCTGATTCTACATTGATCGTATCGCAGCGTCGCAAGCGTGTGTTCTTTATATCTTCTTCTTATCTCAATAACTTTGCAAACACGTCGTTGTAGCATATGCATATGTATGTAGTACAGTTCGCGCAATTAATGCCTTCCACCCTTGTTTTGACATTGCGCGTTACCTTCTCGGTTATTTTCACGTCCATGGTCGTAGTCAGACGGAATTATCGACAATACGCGAGTTTCTCCAATCTCTATTGGTTAGTCTGGTTTGTCCGACTACGGCGGGGCCATGAACGTGAAAATAACCGAGAAGATAAACGCGATGTCTCACCAGTGGACGTGATGTCGTAGGCTGGGAAATTAATTGCGCGAACTGTACATACATACAAATATACTACATATACACCACGTATACACCACACGTTCATTAAATAGTAGCGTGAGGTCGCTGCTTGTCCGTTTCTGGAGCTTTCTGAAATATTCGCCGGCACACACGCGTCCGGTGGCACACGAAAGAATTCACGAGAATTTATACGAGTCATCATCGAGATTGAACGTGTCTATTGTTCGAGTCAAACGGACGTCGGGAACTAGATAGAGATTCAACATTTTAAGCGTGCATGATGGGTGATCAGGTAAGCGTTACGAGTACGTTGGAAGACCCGTAAATCCACGAGGATTTACGCGCGCGATCGCGACGGCGAAGCTCGCCGTTTTCTCAGAGACGCTTCGTCACGTTTCGCGAGGTCAACGATTGTCCTCCTCCCCGCCCCCCGGCGAATTTCTTCCGATTATGCGATCACTCGTTTTTTCTATCCAGCCGATCACAGAAAAATACAAGGTCACGCTGATACAGCTAAATTAAGAATAAGTAGCAAAGGTTGATTATCAAGATTAATCCATTTAATTTATTAATCCAAAAGATATATCCGCTATAGATTTACTTTTTTATTGCTTCGTTAGAACTTTTTTGCTTTCGTCAAATTTCAAATAGATACCTATTTTTTTTTTTAAGTACAAGGATACATTCTTTGGAGTATAACCTAACCACTAGTTAAAAGAAGAAACAGACAGACTGATATACATAATCCGTTCTTTTTTCAAGACATCTTAAGTAATGTCCTAAGATGCTAATATACAGCTCTGTGATTTGTATGATATCTTAACCCTAGCTATACATTTTTTTCCTATCCTTGATATACACACTTGAGACCCTATCTATATTTGTTACCATAACTTCCATAAAAATGGACATATTTCAATTAATTTTTTTTCAATCGATGAAGAATTGATTAAAGAATAAGTTTCCATAATGTTTAAAAGTCGATAGAATTAAGGAGTTTGAGATATATAGGTTCAAAGAAAAAGAAAAGTTCAGCAATATGAAAAAATCTCAATTTTGCAAATTGCATTGGGGTTTCTTTGTATGTATAGCTAGGGTTAAGACTGTACTTGAAATAATCTTAAGTGAATAACATCTGCTATGTATAACCAAGTATTACATTCTTGTGTCGTTTTGCAGGTAGCTTTGTTGAAAGAAAAAGGAAACACTGCTTTACAAACTGGCAATTATGATGAAGCCATTAGATGCTACACAGATGCTATCGTCTTGGACGGCAATAATCACGTTCTCTACAGCAATCGCTCAGCGGCATATGCAAAGTCCGAAAAGTATCAGCAAGCGCTGGAGGATGCCGAAAAGACTGTCAGTTTGAAGCCGGATTGGGGAAAGGGTTATTCGCGCAAGGGCAGCGCTCTTGCTTACTTGGGCAGGTATGACGAGTCCATCAGAGCTTACGAGAAGGGCCTACAACTGGATCCAAACAATCCACAGCTTAGAAGCAGTCTGGCCGAGGTGAGGGCCCAGAAAGCAGCTGCTGCAACTAATCCATTCAATTCACCAGACATCTTTCTCAAATTGGCTAGCCATCCCAGAACGAAGGGATATCTGTCTGATCCTGAATATATAAAGTTACTGCAAGAATTGCGAACCAATCCACAGAGTCTCGGTGCCAAGCTCCAGGACACCAAAGTGCTCACCACCCTTAGCGTGCTGTTAGGAATGAGCACTAACGTAGAGGAACCGATGGAAACTGAGCCAATGAATCCATCGGAACCGCCGAAGCCCAAACCAGAATCAAAACCTCAGAAGAAGGAGGAGGACAATCTTCCGCCTGAAAAGAGAAAAGCCTTGGAAGAGAAGAAACTTGGCAACGAGGCTTACAAGAAGAAAAGCTTCGAGGAAGCTTTAGAGCATTACAATAAAGCTGTGGAATTGGATTCGACGGAAATCATTTATTTGTTGAATATAGCGGCGGTGTACTTCGAACAGAAGGAGTATCAGAAATGTATCGCTCAATGCGAGAAAGCCATTGAAATCGGTAGAGAAAATAGAGCGGACTTCAAATTGATAGCAAAAGCATTTACGAGAATTGGTCACGCTTATAAGAAAATGGAGAATTGGAAGCAGGCTAAGGTGTATTATGAAAAATCTATGTCTGAGCATAGAACGCCGGAGATTAAAACCTTACTCTCGGATATAGACAAAATAATCAAAGAGGAAGAGAGGAAAGCTTATATCGACCCGGTTAAAGCAGAAGAGGAAAAGGAACTTGGAAATCAAAAGTATAAAGATGGCGATTATCCTGCTGCTGTTAAACATTATTCCGAGGCGATCCAAAGAAATCCGGACGATCCCAAGTATTACAGTAACAGAGCAGCCTGTTATACTAAACTGACGGCATTTGATCTCGGCTTGAAGGATTGCGAGAAAGTTGTCGAGCTAGATCCAAAGTTCATCAAAGGCTGGATTAGGAAAGGAAAAATTTTGCAAGCCATGCAGCAGCATGGAAAAGCCTTGTCAGCGTATCAGAAGGCTCTGGAATTGGATCCGCAGAATAGCGAGGCGTTAGAGGGTTATCGCTCTTGCGCCGTATCCGCAAGTTTGAATCCGGAAGAAGTGAGAAAGAGAGCGATGGCAGACCCAGAGATCCAGAGTATATTGCGAGATCCAGCCATGAGATTGATCTTAGAACAAATGCAAAACGATAAGTTTATATATATTATAATATATAAAATATTCTATATATTATAATATCCTAGAGAAGCGGTTTAGTATTAGGTTGCTTCTGGCCCTGAATGTTCACAAAATGTTCGCATATATCAAGATACAAAGGTACCCCATAGTAAACCGCGTAGTTTCATTAATATACGCAAATGTTCTTTCAATTGCTCATTTTAAAGAGGATCTTGTCGATAAAATATTTTTGCTGTTTTAAAAGAGTTACATATCAATTTATTGTTCCCAAAATGGGTCTTAACAATTATCCTTTATACTCCTTTGTTCAAATTTTCAGTTCTCCAAATCAATCTTTTATGAACTTTCTACAATAACCCATTACCTAATTAAGTCTTGAACCTGAAGAAATTAACCAATGTTGAATGTGAGAAGAATAATCAACTATGATTAAAATTTTTTATGGCTTATTTTTAAGACTTAAAATAGCTGCTGACAACAATATATAGAATGATAGGGATCAAACTTCGGGAGTTTTGAAATTCACTGAATATATAAAGATCTGTTCTTTTTAGCTAAAGTTCTTGCACAGTTCATCTTCCTTTTCTCTCCACGTTGAAGAGAAAAAGAGAAAAGATGAACCGTGCAAGAGAAGTTCAGGCCTATAAATTAATCGCTCTCACGCAAAGCCACTCGTCATCCAACAGCTACTATTATAGGCTTGCCACAGACCTGGAAAACCGGGAAAAATTAGGAAAATTGAAATTGGTCATGAAAAATCAAGAAAAGTCAAGGGAAAATGTAAAAAAAAGTCTTGAGTTTTGAAATTTGATTACAATTTCCTTAAACTGCTCCTATTCCAAATAATTATAATTTTTTTTTAATATTATATCACGTTTATAGTCAAATACGTCGTTTAAAACTCGATCTGAAACTAGGTCTGTAGTGTGCCCCAAAAAATTTGAGCAAATTTTCGATTCTATCGTGAAAGCTTGA